GGACGGGAGTTCTCAGCCTCCAGACCATGCTCAGGCAGATACAACTGCGCTGGAGCGGTCAGGTGGTACGAATGGACGATCAACGACTACTCAAGTGACTGTTTTATAGAGATGTTGCTGTCAGTGCTCTTCGCAAAGAAGGACAAAAGAGGCGCTACAAGGACACTCTGAAGAACTATCTGAAGCGTCTTCAAATCAACACGGCAACCTGGAAGGGACTCGTGCAGGACCGATCCGCGTGGCTAAGAGCGGTAAAAAACTGGCGTAGCAATCTACGAAGCACGTCAGATTGCCGCCGCCAAGGCAAGTCGGACGGCTCGCAAGTCTCACAATCACTGCCCAAGCTCTTCCAAACTGGCCACGCTGTCAACTCGCCTTCCGTCCAAGCATTGGCTTGGTCAGCCACCCCCGGAAGCCGTGCGCTCCTCCTCCGATGACCTCCACATCTACGGCACCAAATAATCCAGCCGACCCCTCTCTGCCCAGTACCTCGACGGCTAAAACTGACGCCACAGATGCCTCGTTGCCCTCATTCACCGGTTCCACCCCACCCGCAACCTCCTCCACCCCCTCCGACGCATCTTCGCCCACAGCCCTCATCTTACGCATCGGCCTGGTGGCTCACTTGCGGATCCATCCCACAGCGACTCGTGGAGCACCAACACACAGACGAGACCGCCGCCTTCAATGTCCACTCTGCCTTCGGATACTTGCTCATCGCATTGGCCTACCAGGTCATATGCGCATTCACAACAGGGGCATTGACCATGATTTTGACACACCCAGCACTACTCACACCCCCACCAACAGCTCCAGCCCCAGTCATTAATTGCCTCACTACCTACAACTCACGGCTGTGCCTTCAAGTTCGCCGGGAACACCAAGTAAGTGCCCCCAGGTAAGCCAAGCTTTCCTCTTATCTCTCGCCTTACTGCCATTATGTATGCTGTCTTCTGTACCAGTACTATTAAGCATGGTTTGTCGTACTAACTCCAGCAGCATTAGAAACATATTGCCATCACCAGTAACTCAATCGCAGTTCCCAGGCCATCAAGTTTTCCAATTCCTTACTCGCTGTCTTCTACAGAACCTTCCTGCCGTGCAGTCTTTTGCACTTTTAGCCTTGCCTCAAAGCATTCCTGCTATCACCAGCAATTTGGGGTGCGATCTGATGCCCAAGTCATGTCACTGTGCTCTCATTACGCCTTAAAGTTACCATTGTCGTTCGGTAGT